CTATTAGTATAGTTCCACGAGAAAATAAATTCGCGGGTAGTAAATTTTAATACAAACGCGTAAATTTTTGTCCTTTTATTGCCTGAATATTTGGGTATTGAAGTATAGCTGGTACTGTTATAGCTACATAAGGAGATATAATACGGGAAATACAGATATTCAAATACAATGTCACTACCGAAGAGCTTGAAGGAGACTTTTTCACCGGCTGAAATCCATTTCATAACGGAGAACCAGCTCATCACAATTTTACCAAGATACTCAATGAATGGGATCAATCTTATCACAGTGAGTGTGGTTTATATTTTCAGAACATAGTGTCCTTGTACTAACACAAATTACCTAGACCAAGCTACCCAAAATCAGAGCAATGAATAGAATTCAAGTGCCCATTTGGTTAGCTCAAATATTAAAAGCTCAAAGGAAATGTAATATTGTCCCACCAGAATGGTTAAACTTGAAAACATTAAAAGAATTATATCAGCATGAAGTCACTGATCTAGAAAGTTTTAGTGAACTTCCTTTCAATTGGCTTGAAATTTCTAAAATCTTTTTCGAAAATGCTCCAGATGATTTATCCGATGAGATTCATAAACTGAAATCTTTAATTCAAGATTTAAAAGAAATTAGAATGATCAAGATCAAAAAAGGTTTAACTTTAATCAATGAATCTCATTTACAATTAGATAACTTATCACTAATGGAAATCAATGAAATTAGACCGTTTGTTGTCTCGGTTATGGGTAAATTAACAAGTATGAGTGAAGCTGTTACACAAGATGAACAAGAAGTGGAAGATGAAATGGAATCAGAAGATGATGACGCTAGCATGTATGGGAAGGAATAAATTAATTGCATATTTGAAAAACAGAAACCGTTTTGCTTGTAGCATTTGTCTACTCGTTTTGTTTTGTGTCAGAAAAAAAAGTTTATTACACAAAACCGAAAATCTTTGAATTTAACCAACTCAACCTCCAGATATACGATAAATTGTTAATTATGTGATTGATTCTATAACCATAGGTTAACCATGTCATATATTAGAGCTATTTTGGTGAAACAGGGATCAAATGTTCCAGAACTTGGTCAAATTTTATATGAACCATCAGTTTTACCAAATTACATTCAAGTGAAAGTCGTTGCAGTTTCAATAAATCATCATACAAGAGAAAGAGTGCTAGAAATAGGACATTTAGGAGATCGAGTGATTGGTGTTGATGGTGTTGGTGTAACGCCAATTGGTTTGGCTTATTTCACAACTTATGGGCTAACTGAAGGATCTTTTGCTGAACTCATAAATGTTCATATAGATTGTATTACTTTTTTACCACAATTAGAACTTTCAGTACCACTTAGTACTAAGGATGTTGCTAGAATAGCTGCTTTTGCTAATCCTGGTTCTGCTGTTCATTTTGCATTGGGTAGAATTGATTCAAAGTTTTTGAGTCCAAATTTTAATGTACTTATAATTGGTGTTACAGGAACTGCTGGTGAATTGGCTGCTCAAATTTGTAAAAAAACATATAATTGTGCTAATATTGTTGGAGTTGGTAGATCAGTGTATGAACTAGATGATTTATTGAGAAAAGGAATCATCACTACTGGAATTTCTCTTGCAGCTACTGATGCTACAATAGAAATGGTTTTTGCACAATTTGAAATTGATATTGTGTTAGATTATACTTGGGGTGAACCAGCTGAAAGAGTTTTGACAAATTTACTGAGAGCAAGAAAGAATCATACAAGACCTGTTTGTTATGTTAATGTTGGATTAGTTTGTGGTGATAATTGTAATATATCTTCAAAAATTTTAAGAAATGAAAATATACTTATGGTTGGTGCTGCATTTGGGCAACATGATATTGAGAAATCACATCAACTGATTGAATTTTTGATTTTTGAGTTGTTAAGTACAGATTTCTATGACTTTGATCTTTATGATCCTGAGTGGTCGCACATTAATCAGTTGGTGTTTGATTGGGACAATTGGGATCCTTCAAAGAGGAAAGTTTATTATTTTGCTAATCAGATTAGAAATATATTCAAGTTTGAATTGCATAGTGAAATAGACTTACTACAATGAGATTTCAATACTTTTTTTTTTTTAAATCATTAGAGAAGTGATATTTAATTATTATATACATGTGGTCTATTCACTCTATAATCCCTTAATGACTTGGTGCTTTTCTTTTGTTATATATCCCTCCGTTTTCTGTTGATTTGTTTATATACATCGTTAATCTAACTTAATAAATAATTGTGTTCATACTATCTTATAAAGAAACTTTAGCTTTCTTTTTGTTAGCTAGTTCCCTTTTACTTTTCATACCTCTTTTATCAGCTTGTTTTTGAGATTTTCTATTATCGAATTGATTAACCCAAACATCAATTTTTTGTTCAATTGTTGCATCTGAGTCATTTTCAATAGAAACTTCTTCTTGTCTAGATAATTTATCTTCTTGTTTTGATAATAATTTTCTTTGTTTTTTCAAACGTTTAGCTTCTTCTTTTAAATATCTTTCAATTTTTGTAACTTTTTCTTCATTATATCCAAAACTACTAGCCATTCTTGTTTTAGCACCTAAAGCCCAAAGATCACCAGCACTTGATTTTCTTGCATCATAATAAATTTGTTTTGATTGAGATTTTGCAATTGACCATTTTTCAATCTTACCAGAAGCACCACAAACTGACATTGTAACATGACCTTTTCTTTTCAATGGAGTCTTCATAATACGTGGCCAGTTATGATGACCTTCACCAATAACACCAACCAAATCATCATGATATGCATTTTCACGATCTGATTCAATGTTGGAAATTGTGCTTTTGTCGATACCAGATCTTTCAGCAATCATATAGGAATAACTTGCAACTTCATAATTATTACCATTTTGTCTACCACTACCTGGTGTACTTTTCTTAGATCTACCAGCATCTGGTGTAGCCCATTTTGAATGTAAAACTTTACCTCTTTTAATTTCCATAGAAAATCTTGGTCTTTCAACTGATTGTTCATAATGACACCATTCAAATTTTTTACCAGTTGGGGTATTAAAATAATGTGGTTTTAAAGTTTGTAATGGACATTTATGATGATGAGCACATGGTGCAATGATTGATAAATGATATGGTTCAACTTCTTTTTCGATAAATTCATTTGAAATTTTAGAATCTTCAACTAACATATCTTTTACATCATCTTCAAATTCTAAATCTTTTTCATTAGTTTCAAATGGAGCATTTTGAACATCTTCAGAAATTTTACCTAAATTATGTTTTGATTTACCTTTAACTGATGAACTCTTGTTATAAGGTCTTGGAATTTTACCATTTTCATTGCCAAATTTTTCAGGTTTAATCATAATTTGTCTTGCTCTTGCAGTTAATTCAAAACCTAAAGGTGTACCTCTTTCCACAATGACTAAATGACCATTTGGTGCTAGTGATTTAACCAAAATATCAACATTTTCATCAACTTGATAAGGGAATCTAGTAGCATCTTGAAGCATTTGATGAGTTGCAATGATAAGATCATATTTCTTGGTTGGTGATAAATAATCACGTAATTTAGTTCTTGTTTTAATCTTATTTGTCTTGATTCCACCAATTTTTTCATCAATTTCAGCTTGTATAACAGGATCAATTTCTTCATCTTCATTAAAACTTTCTTGAATTCCCAAAACTTCTTCTTGAGTTTTTTCATCAATAATTAAATCTTCAATATCACCAGTATATTCTTGAACTTGTCTAGATAATAAGATTTTAGCTTTATCTTTCATAGTTTTATCACCCACGATAATTGCATCTTTAACTTCTGGTTTGAAATCTTGACCCATTAATTCATTTAGAGCAATCATACCAGTTGCAGGACCAAATCCAATATCTAAAACACTATTTGGCTTGAAATTATCACCTTTTCTCTTCTTCAATTCTGATAAAGATTGATATATTGACGCATAATTTTGAATAAACATACCAGCAATATGTGCATCAGCTTCCATTGGAGATTTTGTTGGTTTATGAATTTTTTGTTTCATTAATGCAACATATGCATCAGAAGTTGCAGTTCTTAAACGTTTAGGAAGACGTAAAGCTAATATATGATTATGAATAGCGCTTGATATTAAAGGGGGTATCTTGATTTGTGATCTTGGAGCTCTTGCTTCCAAAGTTTTAGGATCTAATCTTGATTGTAATGAGGTTTCTTCACGTTCAATAAGATTACCATCTTCATCTTCAAATCTTCCTTCATAAACCTGATCTAGGTATTCTTGTCTTTCCACAATTTTAATTTTTGAATCATATTCAGAATCATCTAAATCATGGTTTTGATTTTTAACAATTTGTCCAAAAGCTTCACTTTCTTTCCTATAAGCAAACGGTAATATTGATCTTTGATGTGATAAAGCTTTATTAATATTTACTGGATCATTTTCATACTCCACAGTACCCATGGATTTCGATACACTTGACTGGCACCGTATCAAATTCTTCCGTATTATATGACTTGATCGTATCACTGGAAACATCTTATGCCGTATAAATTTAAGTGATTTTGTATACTTTTCAGTTTGTATTATGTTTAAACCACTTTTGATTTGACATAAATTTTTTTTCCCGATGAGATATTTTCGGTAAGCGACGCAAAAAAATATCGATTACGTAAACACATAGAAAATGATTATATTCAGTATATATCATGACTTTTTGTTGCCTTTAAATGATGTTTAAATCTCTTAATATTAAGTTTAGCTACGTTACAGTCATGTGGATATCCTAAGGTTATCAATTATAGTCCTGGATAGTGTTGATATCCCTGCCCCAACAATTGAATAAGATGTATTTGCGTACCAAAGATATTGAAGCCAAACTCCCAATTGATTGAATCAATATCATATACAATCGTTATTCATCATTCTACTGACACACATTCCATCAATATTCGGCCATTAATGAGAATATCTTGTTCATTTTATATTGCTACATATATAGCTATTGAACATTCACATTTTTTAACAAATCACTACGTACAATTATTGACGTAGACGTACTATAACGTACTTCTTGAACTTTATAGATATATTGAACAGTTTAATTATATATATATAACAAAATATATAGTTTAACAGGACTAAACAAATGGTATCAGTCAAATTGTAGTGAATATAATTTTAAGTCAGCTCAACTTGCACTTGTGTTTAATTATTTTCTCGTATTAAGACCGCTAATTTCCGAAACAAACTCATGTATGAATTTTACCATAAAACAGCTCCATATTCATATTTGAACGTATTATGATCATACACACCAATGATAAGCTAATTATGTATACGTATACGATATGACTAAATGTTTTCGACGTTATAAAAGCTATATATAGAAGCTTTTCACATCAAAATATACATATAATTACAAGTAGAGCGAATATATGCGTGAGATGATTAACGAGAAGAATAGAATAATAGAAGAAGTGCTTATATCCCATGAGTTTCGATCATTTTCTGTTTGCTTGTTTTCTGTCTAATTAATATAGATAAAAACATCTCATTCAAGCTTCTCGAGAAATTAATATATAAGTAGCTTTCCAGTTTCTATATACGTGGATTAAAGCTTAAAAGTATTTGAAACTCTATAGTTTGTCTAATATTTTAGATATTCACATTATAAGTATACATCATAAGAATTAGCCTCAATCATGAATTTTGAAAATCAAACAGAGCTTAATATCGACGATGAAACAACTCGTTATCTCTCTGACCCATGGTTCTGTGCTGAAATACCAAAAGAATATGCCGGAGGTAAACATAAAATGTTCGACCAGGGCGATTATCCACCAAGTTTATTACACTCAAATATTGACACTTTAAGAAATGGAGCGGTTTCAAAATTGTTATCAAAATGTCCTGATTTAAACTCTAACCATTGGCCACCTAGACGTTCTGATTTCATAATAGCTCGAAAGATCATTGGGAAGAATGCAAATATAAAAGGTTTTACCAATAAGTATTCCGTGGATAAGGTTGTTCCAAAACCAATTTGGTGGTTTGGGTTATTACCATATGAAAGATATTCAGTTAAGTTTTTCATCAATCGCTCAAATTTAATGATAGCACAGCTTATTGGAGATATACGCATTAAGATTAGACACATCTATTGGAGATCTAGAATGAAGTTAATTTATCCTCTAAGGCTTATCAAAGATAATATCTACGAAACAATCAATAATTTCTTGGAACAAAAGGTCAATGATGCTTCTTTTTCGTTGAAAACACTTAGACCACCTAAAACAAAATTTGACCTTTTCAGTCTAGGTGGTAAACCATCATTGTTAGGACCTTTCCCGATAGAAATCTGGTTAAAGATAATTGAACATTCAAACATTGATAAGCAGAAAGCAGTTAATATGGTTTACAATTCTATGTGGATTGACCTTATAGCTCCAATATTATATACTAATATCCATTGTTTCCTATCTATTAGAGATACATCGATGTTGAGAATTACGGATCATCATTTCGTTCACAATGGTCCAAGTTTGGTCGATTATGGATACAGCGATTACAACAAGTATGCAAGATTGAACAAAGTGAAGGATCACGAGTTTGAAGTCTTGGATCTCTATCCTTCTTCAAAAGAAAGGATGGAAACTTTGATTAATACGAAAACCTCAGATCGTGTAGATCAATCTTCCATTTCAATTGTCTTGAATCACAAATCATTACTCAAATTGGTAAGGACTTTGAATACCAAGAAAACTATCATGAAGAAATATCTAAAGAATATCTCATTAGATGTGTTTGCGCCTTCTGATTGGATGACTGCTGAAGGCAGTAAAGAAGTTAGAGAAAGAGTTGGTACCTTGGTAAAAAATAATCATACAAACAACGAGATTAAAGTTTTACAGACCAAGTTAGCGATGGCACGATCTGCATTAGTTCACATAAACGAGTTTGATCATGTTAAGGACAGGAGAAAGCAAGAGGAATATCAAGGAAAAAAGTGTCATCATGTCAATGAGAGTCAACACTGTTTCAAGACAAGAAGCGTGTTTGCATTTGAACCTTCCATTGAGCCACTAGTATTTGCAAAGCAAAACTATACATCAGATTTGGATCTTTTTAATAAGATACTTGAATGTTTTATAAACGGTTCAAGAAACAACAAAGTGAAGAAGATGAATGAAAATAATATCGAAGATCTTGGTATTTCCTCTATTCTCAATCCACCCCTCAGATCCAGAGATGTACATTCAACAGGCGTTGGATTACTTTCAATGTTGCCCCATGACGATAAATACCATAAATCTGACCTTTCAATTGGAGAATCAACTTATTTGAAAAACAAGGGGGAACTTGCAGAATATGTTGATGAAATAATTAGCTCTTTCTTGGAAGGTACTAACTCCAATTGTTCAATAATGATTACAGGTATTGAAACCTCAAAAGAAAGTTCAATTTATAATTTTAGAAACTCATACTATACTGTATATCAGGGCCCAGAGCTAATCACAATCAATAGAAAATACTAGAGAATAAGATAAATAATTATAATAATTTAGTTATAATTATATTGCATGCAATTATGTTGTTGATAATATAATATATTGCCGAATATATATCTTTATAATATTTCTATATAATATAATTATAATATATATTTAACAGCGCGCCTAGGTATTAATTAATGATATAATTTATATAGCTGTACATTATATATATATAATGAATTGGTTTGATACAGCTGTTTGGCCTTAGAACTTGGACGACGTACGTAAGTTGTTATAACGTCCTTATAAGAACTTATATATTAATTATGAACAACAATATATATAACCTTAAATATTAAAATATATAATGTAAAAATTATGCATATATGACGCACATGAATTATATTCAAGAGCTAGCTAGCCTAGCTGTATTATATAAGTACTCTTAAATATTA